TCTCCGACTCAGTGACCAAATAAATCAATCTTTTTACACCAAATATGTACTTAATGTTAAAGGTCTTAACAGTCATCTAACCACTGAAGCTATATAATAAAATTCTCTGTGTATAAGTGTGTGTGTGTGATGATATAGGATCTTTTTTTTGTCACAATATATTTTCTTCATCTTCATGTTGCAATCAATATATTATAGTTCTTGAGAAATCTGTGGGGAATGAAGTCCTTCAACAATACTAAAATTTTTTTGGCCCTCCTCAGTAACCAATGTTTATCTACTCTTATGATGTTAACGAAGCTTGTTATTGAAGTCCATCTGATCTCATCTTCTATTGTCCTCATCAAGGTTGAAGATTGTGATTGGATGCTCCTCATGATCTATTTTTTGTTTTGTTAAATTATTTTATCATGGTTCAACATCAAATAAACTGAATCAACATTACGGAGACCTGCATTCTCATGCATGGTTTTGAATAAAAGAAACAAGCGAGGAATTCTCTTTTTGACTCTTCCACCTTAGTCGCTTTTGCTTTCGACCAACGCAAATTTGTTAAAATCTTCAGAATTGCTATCATTGTGTTATAGTTAGTTTATTTGTGGATGCATTCCATTGAGTAGATGTAGATTGGAAGAGCATTATCACATTTACAATATTCCATAGTTCCTAGTATGTATATATGGAACACGAAGAAATCCTAATCGAATGTATCCGAAACTGTCAAAGCTGAACATGATCCATTTGAGTAAATTTGAGATTTGTTAGCTATTTATTAAGCCTTCTCTGTCAGAATAATTCTGTGAATTTTTTGTCACCTAATGCTGCAAAAGAGTGTCTTCAGGTGGGAATCTGAAAACCATAGAAAGAGGATGCAATCACATAACCCAAAAGCATAATGAAGAGACGAAACCAATCAAATCCTTAAAAAACAGTCTTATTAGAACAAAGAGTTATTATGTCTCTGAACCAAGTTGGTCATGTTATGTCCTTTTCACCATTTATCTCTGACGCTAACTGAGTGCTCATGGCTTGTGTGTCCTCCTGTTCAGATACTTGTTGGACAAAGTAAAACGTACATGCAAGATTTCAAAAGGCCTGCAGCTCTATTCAAGTTGAAGGCTACAATTACATGCGGACATCCGGAGACGGAAATCGACAAAGTTTCGCTGAAAGAAAGATTGAAAAGGAGGCCACCGTACCAACAATTACAGACCACGAAAGGCTCAAATGGGTGGAGTTAATCTTCATAAAATCCTATAACTTGTACGGTTCCAATTGAAGGGCTTCTCCACGATGTCACCGGAAGGATTGCCAGAGAGAGAAAGAAAGTTGAATCAGACATGCATTTACTGCAAGAGAGGTAGAGCAAAGTTGGCTTTCTAGTATGTCTTCATTGTACAGCCATATCCTGTCACATCTTGACCTTGTCTTCCGTTCACAAGAATCCTAGAAGACCACACACTCAAACCAATGACATGACATTTAAATGCATGTCATCATTGTCTTATGAATCGATAACCAAGTTGGGTATGCACATACGATTTTGTTTTGCAAGATCACGAACGTATGATTGTGCGAAGGTTTTGATGAGCAAAAATTTGGTTGTGATTCATTGTCACTGTACAAAATGATGTTGTGCGAATTTGTGGTTGCAGATTCTTCCTAGTTTGTATCCCAACAAGCGATCAGTGTAGGTGAGAAAAGCAATGAAAAGGACTCGCACAAGTGATAGGTTTCGGATTTGAATGCCATGTGTAGACGTTATGTATAATACTATTTGATATAATGTTTTTTTATTAAAAAATAATTAATCAAAAGAAGCTTTCGAGACTTTCATTACAGAATTTATTGGGAGACATGTGGGGGAAGTGATTATTTAGGATTTGAGAAGTCACATACTTGTGATTAGGATTCCCAAAAAAATCAGTAGGAAAACCTTCACTTCACTTGTAGATATCTCATGTGGTAAATAATTGTACTAGTATATCTCATGAAATGGGCAAAGGAAATGCTCCAAAAAGCTTGAAGAATAATAGAAAAAGTATATATATATATATGTATATAATGTCCTCTATTGTGAACATTGAAAACAAATGATTAGAAAGTTCCATTACAGATGATCAGTTTAAACATAAGTTTCATGTGAAGTATGTATGAGATGCACATAACACATGTTCTTGAGATGGCGGCTGGATTTCTTGCACTTAGAGACAAAGCAAATTTCCATCATTTTTCGTGTTAATTATGCTTTAATTAAACAAGAGTTTACTAGTGTTCTTAATTCTGAGAGTACTGCATGTATGCCAAGTCAACAATTTATACGATCCAAAAGAATTGTGCATATGATGAGTTACACAGGTCCGATAAAACGTATATAAATCTCTTTTTTACATATTAGTAATTTTTCTGCATTTGTTTTTTGGCTTTTAATCTGCAAATATATGTATTGGCCAAACAACTGTTGGAGGCGTTCGATGATCATCTGTCAATTATTCATGCCAACAATATAGAAGAAGCTACTATTTTACCTTGGAAAGCTTGAATCACGTTGATGCAGCCAACATGACCTCTATAAACACGCTAACTTTGACATATCGTACTGCGCCGGCAAGTCTGGATCAACTGCATGTATGTTTCATGAATCAGAATCAATTCCTAATCATCTTAGAGAGAGATAAATAAGTCAAACTCTAAACGCCACTATATGCAAAATGAGGCTCCCTTCCATCCAAAAATTCAAGAACTCTGCATCAAATAATTTTTAAGTATATACAAACAAAAAAAAACCTTGATACAAGTCACCTGAGCTGTTTCCTTAGTACTATATAAATTAAACTGATTTATGTTGCTATAAGAAAAATAATAAATGGATATTTAAGTTGCAATTAAAAAGGTACGGAGGAGGATTACAAGGTACTACTAATCCAAGGATTAAAGACGAGAATAAAGATAATATCCGAGGTGAAAATAAAAAAAAACTGTATCGAACAGATAATCTTGAACTTGGATTCTAAACTTACTTAGGTTCTTTACTCAGTACTCTAGACCTGAGTGATTTGCACACCTGGGAACTATACCTATGAAGAAGAGGATAACACCTTAAATTATGATAAAATTATCTTCTCTTAAACCTTTGGGGGTTTCCAATGCAATGAATCTACAGATATATAAAAGTACGTAGTTTATAGATTCACCACTTTTTGTTATGATAATTTCAACCTAGAAATTTACTTTTTCCATCCATAAATTTCTTTTCCAATTAGGCCCTTCTATTTCAATATGTGAAAATGAGCTCAGGAAAATAAATTCATTTGCATAAAACGTCTGATAAACCCACTTTGTATTCACTTTATTAGTGATCTAAGTTCAAGGAGGAATTCACTAAGAGATCATCGAAGCTAAGACTCATATAAAAATGAGTGTAACAATATTCTCTTTTCATCAGCAACATCCTCACTCTTCTTTTTTTGTACTTTTAAATACTTCTACAAAGCCAGCTTAAAATTGAATCTTTCTATTGAAACACCATAAGGAAACTTTTACCATCAAACAATCACCGGAGGATGCAAAGAGCAGAAACAAGAGGGATTGCTTATAGAATCAAATAAAGCTTTCAGGTCCTAAAAGGAGCAGCAAGTAAGAAGCAACAGAAAACGTACCTACCAAGATATGCAAGTCGCAAAGGACTTGTTTTGTCTCTCGCTGGGGAGGCAGCAAGAGCTTCACGTGAACAAGCGAGCATGATTGCGTGAAAGCTGGGGCCGCTTCATTGGTGAAATTATGAGATCATGGAGAGTAGTCGCTGCAGGATTGTTTGCAGCAGCTCCGAATGGAGGGCGTGGCTGTCTCCGTGTTCCAGAACCAACAGGACCAGGTGCTGCTTTTGCTGGTGAGCCACCAGAGAGGTCAAAGGCTTCCAAATTAGCGGTCTTCGTTGAAGGCCACATCTCTCTCCGTCCTGGAGTTTCAGGAGTAAAAACCGATTGATCTGCGACAAATAAATCATCTGGTACTTTTTGGAGAGAGCTCAACAGAAGTTTTATCAGCTCTCTGCTTGATTGTATGATAAAATGAATGAAACTATTCGACTAGTTTTGAAATATTGGTATGCGATATTTGAAACTAAAAGCAAGCTTCTAATAAAGCAATTAGAAAATCTTATATCTGCTATTGGATAAAATGCAACCTGCATAGGTATTCCCTACCACCCATCATGTTAGTCATTCCGGAGAACAACTCTGGCTCGGCTCCAGGGAAGAAGCTGTTTGCTGGTTGGATTGCTGAACGCTTCACAGACTCATACTCACTTCTTAGTTGATCATACATCTCATCAAGTTTCCTCTTCTGCCTGGTTTTCATATAATTAACCTGTTAGAACCTGAGCCATCCATAAATAAACCAAAATAAAAACAGTGGGGAGGTGAAGCATAGGATATCAGACTTAGATAAGCACCAGTGTAAATCAACCTGGATTTTTCGGCATATTTTTCTTGTAGTTCTTGCTTGTCTTTGGACAGGCTTTCGATCTCTTGTTCCATCATTTGGCACCTTTTGGCCATTTTCTGATATGCAGTGTGAATTTGCTCCAATTTCTCTGTGAACTTTTCTTGCATGACCTCACATTTCTGCTTGCACTGCCCAACAATCTTCTTCATCTTGTAATTCATCTCAAGTTCCTGTTGCCCAATATAGAACATCACACTCCTATATGCGCTCTTCATGACTGAGTGGAATGGAGTCAAGAAAGAAACAGGAGAAAGTTTTCTTCTAAATTTTTACTATGTAACCATTATTTTCATCCCAGTGTAAAGCCCCATCTGGTTTGAAGGCTGTCCTATGGATCAGAGAATTATCAAGGCCACTCCTACATGAAATCACACAAGCTTTCAAATCCAAACACAAATTCAGTTTAGAAAGCCACTGAATCAAAAAATGATTAATTTAAAAGGTCATAGGATACGTATTTGTGGAGAAACTCCAGCCATTGCCATCTGCAGTGGAAGGATGCGGAGAAAGATTTAATTGAACCAAAGATGTATAATTTTGATATTTCAGGTAACAAAAGCAAATCTTACATTTATCCATTCATTGCCAGGATTTATGTCAACTGGTCTCATAAGACTGATAAGCAAACACGTGTGGTTAATCATAGTAGTGGCTAAAGAAGCAATGACAAGCACTACAAACTGGAATAAACATATGCATGAAAGTAAAAACCTTCCTATATAGAACAAAAATGTTGATTAATTTGCAAAAAAAAAACATTGAATGATATTAATTAATGTACAATAAACACTTAACACAAAGAAAGCTTTAAGAAAGACCTTCACCTTTTGGAGAGTACTTGATCACAAATTGGACAAGCAGCATCACTGCTTAGTATCTTGCTTGCATCCTCATTGCCTTTTAACGTAGTTAAGGATATTGACTATGCACAGCTACATTGTAAACTGCTCCACATCTAGTTAAAGCTGGTTATTCTTTAAAATAAGTGTTGGATACAATATAGATGACCACAGGTGGTCGACACAGCTCGCCCTTCCAATTCCCTCCAACAAGCATTACACCTCATCACAGCTCTTAATATCAAATACCAATTGCACAATGTTGAGAAGCTCCACCGCCAGCAAAGTTAAGACAGAGCCCTGTAGAAGATTAAATTTCCACAATGTGATAAAAAAACAAAAGGACTCCTTTCTTCTTATCCACTGTGAATGACAGATCGAAAAATCACTGGAGATTGGTTGGACATTGTGACCAAAGGTAAAAAGTTCAGGACAAACAATAAAAAGTAGGATTTTTGCAATATATGAAAACAGATAATTAATCCTTGAATAACAAACTTTCTTCATGCAAGTAACAATTGGAAGCCTATCATGATACGTGCATTAGAAGACTATCTAAAAGGAACTAATGCACTTATCTTCTCTTTCTCAAACGAAACATTGGAGATAAAATTAAATGTTTGCATCACACATTACAGTTGTCAATTGCCGCTCTAAACAGTGAGTATCAGATAACAATCACAAACCATCTAATCTCTTCTTCCAGAATTTACAGAGAACATAAGGTGAAAAACACAGATTTATGGCAAAATACATGAATCTGCCAATCCCAGACCACGTGCTCGTGTACCAAAACTTCAAATTAACCCTAAAGCTTAGCAAAGAAAGATTACAAATTAACCCTACAAAAAGGTTTGTGAGAAGAGAACTTCCTCCGATCATAAACGGATATTCGATCCGATCGCAGGAAACCCATTCGATCGAACCTTTAACAGAGAAAAATATATCGAAAATTGCTAGAATTAGGCTATACATCTGACGCCCATATGATTGAGGAAATTTGATATGGAGATCAACCTGTAAAAATCGAAGAGGAAGAACTTCCAGACAGCGGAATCACGTCGGGGAATACCTGGAGGAATCGCCTCGCCGTCTTGATGTGATCCGCGTGGGAGGGGAGGAAGAGACGGGGGTCGAGATTCGAAATGTTTGGCGGTAATCACACTAATTGAAGCCTGGCCCAGTTATATGAAGGGGCTACGGGTCGAGTCCGCTCATGATCCGATAAGCTTTTGGATGCCCGTGAACTCCAGGATCCATGTTCGAGTCGGATTCTTAGGATATCGGGCTTTCCCCAGCATTATTTGCAGTTGCTGCGCAAGCTCTTCCACGTCACTTAACGTGCGCACACTGATGACACCTGTCGCGGAAATCTTCGCCTGCCCGGTGAATCCTCGCCAAAGCGATGCCAGCTCATTCCAGCAATGAACTCTGGTAGGAGGCACACCTTTTTTCGACCGTTACAGCACCTATTCAAAACTCCGAACCTTTCTCGACCGTTGAAAGTATCAGCCCCCCTCCCACACCTTCCTTCCAAGTCAAATAAAGTAACCAAGCACAGAAGGACGCCCATCTCTGGTCTTCCTCTTCGTCTTCCTTCTCCTCTTCGTGCCTTAAAGTGCGACAGGAGGAGAGGAACACAAGAAATGGTCTCCAAAACCCCCCCGAAGTCCATCCGCCGCAGCACCAGCAACAGCAAGAGGAAGTGCAGTAAGTCCTCATCCCCCCTCAAGGCCGCCATCGACCGCTCCGTCCGCTCCTGCCGCCGCCGCCTCGTCAAGATCTTCTCCCGCCTCGCTATCCTCGGCCGTTCCGCTTCCAACACCCCCAACCCCCACAAGCTCGGGTTCCGCCGCCTCAGCACCACCACCGTCAAAGGCCCCCCGCAGCCACCTTCGCCACCGGCCGCGGCAGCCCCGCTCCCTCCGCCGTCGTTCCCGGAGAAAAAGACCGTCTTTTTGGACCTCGACGAGACCCTGGTCCACTCCCGCACCGACCCCCCACCCGAGCGCTACGACTTCGCGGTCCACCCCTCCATCGACGGCCGCGTCGTCCCCTTCTATGTCCTCAAGCGGCCGGGCGCCGACGAGCTGCTCAGGACGGCAGCCAAAGCCTTCGAGGTGATCGTGTTCACCGCGGGGCTGAGGGAGTACGCCTCGCTCGTGCTCGACCGCCTTGATCCGGGCGGGGAGCTCATATCCCACCGGCTGTACCGGGACTCATGCAAGGAGATGGAGGGGAAGCTGGTTAAGGACCTGTCGGTTGTGGGAAGGGCCTTGGACCGGGCGGTGCTGGTGGACGACAACCCGAACGCCTACGCGCTGCAGCCGGAGAATGCACTGCAGGTGGCCCCCTTCTCCGACGATCTCGCCGACCAGGAGCTCCGCAAGGTGATGAAGTTCTTCGAGGTGGCGGTGCTTTTCGAGGACATGCGGGACGCGGTGGCTTATTATCGCTCCGAGTACGCGGATCGCAAGTTGCTGGCAGCCGTCACAACAGTATCAAAGTTGCCGACTGATGAGCATCCGAGATTGCCGGTGATGAGCTAGTATCATCGGAGGAGATGGCGAACGGCCCTCAGGTTCTTCCTGAACTTGCTGTTCATCGTGATAGAAATCTAGGTTTCTCTGGTGGAAAATTTGATGCATTTCTGCAATGCTCGCAGCAAAAAATGCGATTTGACGATTGTGTTGTTCATCAAAACAAATCTATCCATTGCAACTCTGCCGTCGTAGGATCTTCTAAACGCTATATTTAAATTAAAGTTGTAATGGAATGCTTTTTGCAGGGGAAGTCTCCACCTTTCTCAGTGGATTTTGATGATACTTTATTGACCATATCCTTAATATACGTATGGATCTTTCGAACACAGATAAAAAAGAGCTTCTCACGCTGATATGATTCTCACGTAAAGAGTATATATACTATCAATGTGTATCAAAATGGGTGTGACCCGAAGACGGAATTGGGTCAAAATTAATTAGGCCCAATGTTGACCCAACTGTTCGTGAATTGGGTCAAGACTCAATAGTCGACTTTGACTTCGCGCGCGGCGTCTCCCATTTTGCTTCGTGTCATACACCGCACGTGACATGTTTTATGCTCTACTTTATACATCGTATGTACGGTTTCTGCTACGGTTGGCCTGTGAATAGGTGTTGGTTTCTTTTAGGGAAAGATTACCTTTACACCTCGAAGGGCTTGTGCGATTCCCCAATCCCTAATTCCCTTTCGACATCGGACTCGTCTCTTAATCGTTCTCGATCGATGAACGATTTCTGGTGAGTGGACACGCTTTCGTTTGTTTCATCGGTTCTCGATGGTTGGGTGCAACAATCTCTACCCTGTAATCGAGGTCGAAGAACCGATGTCGTCCCGCACAACCTTGATGTCCATGGAGGCGATCGATCCTGGGCTCTCTGATGTTGCTAAGCCAGGACCGGAGGTTACCCCTTCATCCCCCGAGGTGATGCCTTTCGTCCCTATCTTCTCTTTGATCATATATCATTACTTTCGCAAAAAGAAGAAATTGTTTGAGCCTATTTGTTGGTTTCATATTTGGCGAATTGAGGAAGGAGGTATTTTGAGTTTCTACTGTGAAAATTATCGGCGATTTGTTTAAAGATCATATATCTAGATATATTATATATATTTCTGTGAAAATTCGGGTCGTTGATGGTTTCATATGTTTGCCCTTAGTGCAACATTGCTTTGGGCAGATATTGTGCGGTGATTCTATGACTTTAAGTTTCAACTGCACTACAGTTCATGGTAGTAATGCCCTCTCGGTCGAGCCAAAGGGTTTCGACGTACAAGTTATTATGGATAATATTATATTTTACATTCTCCATCATTTTTTTTGCTTCTGTTCATTTGTTTTTCAGTTGCTTGAAAGTTGAAGTGCAGGGTGTTGTGAGTAACTTTTATAAGTTTATATTGACAGTTTAAGTTTTTCGGATTGTCATAGTGTTCAGAAACATATATTCAATAGATTATACAAGCATCCTCTTGTTTATTAGAATTCTGTAAGATTTTAGAACAATTATACATTTATTTCATGAGTATTCAGAATAATGTCAAAATCCACGAAACAGAAATTGACACCTACAAATAATATCTCTATGATTTCAGCATCATGTCTTAAAAGCTTAAATCTGTACACGACTGTTGTTTGTTGATGCTCGTGGCTATAAATCTAAATTTGAATAGATACCTGACCGAATGGAGGGCAGCCACAACAATAGCTCTTCATCCAAGACTGAAAAACCATACATTTCAGAAATGGTTCAGGATCCTGCAGCACAAAAATCAGGCAAATATTTCTATTATGATTCTCCACTTTATGAAGAAAGCGGCTACTGGATACCTGTCTCTGTTCCTCCCATGCTAGAAGGTGACCATGATGAATGGAGCAAGGGACTCCATTCCGATGGTGGGTACTTCCCTGAGGGAGAATTCAGTTGGGACCAGTTTTCTGGAGAAGATAAGGAGATGACCATGTGGGATGTGGTTTCTGAGATGCTTATTGTGGCCCGTGGCAAAGTGAGTGTCCTTACTTCAGGTGAACTAAGGAGTTGCAGGGTGTCTTGCATATCAACAGATCTCTTACAAGAAACTTGGAAAGAGATGGCTAATACACTTGCGGAGGCTAACTTTGGGCAAAGCAACGAAATTCTTGAAACAAAGCCACCAAAGTGGTTGTCTGACAGTGCTGCAGCTGCTTGCATGTTGTGCAACATTCACTTTCATCCAATCATGTGTTCACGGCATCATTGCCGGTTTTGTGGTGGGATATTTTGCAATGATTGCTCCAAAGGAAGAAGCTTGTTGCCTCCAAAGTTCAGAATTTCAGACCCCCAACGGGTTTGTGATGTTTGTTGTGTCCGTTTGGAGCCGATTCAGCCTTACTTAATGGATCAGGTTAGTCATGCTTCACAGCTTCCAACACATGATTTGACAGACCTCAGCACCCTGCGGTCATGGTTGAACTTCCCATGGGGACGGACTATGGAGTATGAGATTTACAAGGCAGCAAATATAATTCATGGTTACAATAAGGTAAATTCTATTCTCTAATGGCACTGCAATATAATTTAGGTGTATTTTGCTCAGACAATCTGATAGTAAGATTTTTCACATGTGAATTGCTGCCTTGTCTTGTTTGCATGTTTTTTGGTTTGATGGTGATTTTAACATCTAGTATTTGCACTGGCATGGGCTTAGTTTGAGAACTAAAACAATGCAGTTGATTAGATTTTGAACAGAGTATAGTTTAATCACACTCGTTGTTTATCCAATTTCTTTGTTTCTTGTATGTGTTGTTTAGTTTCTCAACTTAGCCTTAAAGATATATTTCCTTTTTCACTTATTTTCTTGTTTCCTTTCTGTCTAGCATGCAAAAAGTTTGCATTAGTGAAATCATTCATGTTTTAGCAGTCAGATAGTCTTATCATGACAATAAAACATTGAGTTGAAAAGACTAAAAAAAACACTAGCTGAAATACAAGATATTCCTTTTTTTTTGTGATACTGTATGTACTTCTTGTTATTTGAAACATCTTCTATAATTTATGAACTCTTCCAATGATTTCAGGAATGTGGTTTACATCTTTTTCTTGTAAGTTCTACTTAAGGTTACATGTCACATATTATTTTTGCACAACAATGGACACTTCATGAGAAACTCAAAGCTTGCTATAAATTATTGCTAGGTGGGTTCACTGAAACCTGAGAAGTCCATTCCTGATGCTATTCTGAAAGAAGCAAGAGGCCTTGCAATACTGACTGTTGTTAATGTTGGATTAATGGTTACTTACAAAGTTGGGACTGGTCTTGTTGTTGCTCGTAGAGAGGATGGTTCTTGGTCTCCACCCTCTGCCATCTCTTCATTTGGTTGTGGATGGGGGGCCCAGGTTAGCATTTCTTTATGTTTAGCCTTATGTTTCAAAATATTATTGAATTGGAAAAACACTTGATATAAGGTGATGTATGCCTAAAATGATTGTTTGACATTTTTCCCACAGGCTGGAGGCGAGCTAACTGACTATGTAATTGTTTTGAGGAACAAAGATGCTGTCAGAATTTTTAGTGGCAGTGCACATTTATCAGTTGGTGCTGGATTGAGTGCAGCTGCAGGAATTGTCGGACGGACAGCTGAGGCTGATCTACGTGCAGGTGATGGCGGTCATGCTGCCTGTTATACATATAGCTGTAGTAAAGGTATGTTTCATGCAAATGTAGTCCTATACACTCTCTTTATTAGGAATCTCCTCCTTGGAATTTGCTCTTATAAAATATCATTTTAAGGTGAGCCATAAACCATGGATACTTTGATATTGATGTTTTTTAACACAAGGCATACTGTTTAGTTGTTCATCTATCATCATCCATTGAGCAAAGGTTCTGTCTTGTTTAATTCATATCATCATCCATTGCTAATGATAGATACGAGGCATGCTTCGTGTACTTGTATAAATGGAAGAGGCTGCAAGCATTGGAATCCTTGTGTATACTAAGCCAGATGTCATCATTTTATTTGTTGCTGTTGGTGTACCTCTTATTTCTATTATGTTAGATACCATACTTATCTCTGCGTTTGTTGTTCTTCGTCCAATACCTTGGTATGGTTTTGTTCTGTTGTAATAAGAGTAGAACTGAATAGAACCGTTATTGCTAGCATATCTAAGAGAACTGATATCATCTTATTACTTGTTATGCTAATGTTTAAGAGTTATATCATTACCATTGGGATTCTTGTGTTGCAGGTGCTTTCGTCGGTTGTGCACTCAATGGTAGCATGGTTACGACTCGTACCTCGGAGAACTTCCGTTTCTATGGTGCTCCTGTCAAGGCATCAGACATACTTCTGGGGTCGATGCCAATGCCACCTGCAGCAGCCGTTCTCTACCGTGCTCTTTCGGATCTATTCCTTAAGCTGGAAAATTAGTTGGCCCTGATAAGATTTCGTGACCCGTTGTTCATTCTGGCTGTTTATCCTCCATTCTTTCGCTGTGTGTACAGAATTTGGCGGTTGATATGTATAACATTAAACATCATCCAACAAATTGAAAGCAACTTTAGTTATAAATACTCATATGTTCTCATTATTGTCAATGCATTCTTATTTGCCTAAGTATGTTTACTTTTATGGTTGTACATCACCTTTTTTTTATTTTTATCTCTCGAGTGATTGAGATGCAAAATTTATTAAATGTGGTTTTGTAAGGATTTAATATTCGACTAGAGTGTTTTGATATTAAAATAATATATGAATAAGCGATCAAGATTTTCTAGTAAGATTTCTTTTGAGTCTTGATAGATTTAACTTAACTAAAAATATATTTAAATAATAAATAGAAAATTGACAAAATAGTTTTAAGTTATGTCACAAATTTGATCGTGCTCTACTTTCGTGGCTAATCAAGCTCACATCTAAGATTCAATTGGTGTAGAGGCCCGTGCATCGTTATCACCCATTTGATTCCTAACCGGTATAACAATATTGTATTTATTTCCCTTCCAAATACATTGAATTAATTAATCCTCGCACTAATTACCACCTAAGATAAATAACAATAACGATAATAATTAGTAGGCCCCATAGTGGCAGCAAAGCCACGAGCAGCGGAGAAAACGCCACAAAAGTAGTCTCCTGCAACCAAAAACACACAGCCTAAAGCACACCGCACAAGCCGATCAGAAAACACGCATTGGTGATGGCAGACATGCCACCACTTGTGATTTAATTCTAGTTTATTCCAATCTCCATTAAACTAAATCCATACATACATACATATATATATATTTATATAGTTAATATGATCTCGGAAAACAACAGCAGGTCCTGCTTGCGACATCAATTAACAGCTAATCTTTCAGCTTCGTAGTCGTTCGGAGACATATTTCCTTCTTTCCTTTTCTTGATCTCTCCGCGTTGACTACTCTCCCATGCAGCACGTAGCCAAAGAGCCTGATGCCTCCGTCCGATGGTCAGCCGGTCGCATCACGACCGTCGATCATCAGCTGAAGCCGCTGATGCGAGGCAGACCTTGCACGGGATCAGCGTCCCACCCACTCCGAACCCAGGGACGACCGTGAACCCGACCGTGGCCGGTCTGAATCGGGCGGCTGCAACCTCCTCCACGCCCTCGTCATCTTCCTCTTCCTCTTCCTCCCCCACGCTCTGCATGTACACCTCAGAGAACCGGCTCCCCCGCCGCACCTGGAAGACGGACCGGTCCTCGAACGAGAAGAACAGGCAGTGGAGGAGCCACACTCGCCTCGCCATCTCCGCAAACCCAGCGAAGAACGCCGAGTCCTGGACCGCAGCACCTCGATCGAGACTGCCGAAGAACGATGACTCCATCTTAGGATGCACCAGCGACTGATACTTGGCCCTGAGAAACTTCGCGATCCCCTGGTGCTGCCGGCTTAGCTTTCGAGTCGATCCGAGACGGTTCAGTTCGGTGAACTCGTCGAAGAACTGGCGCCGACCCCACATCGACCGGTCTCCAAGGGCAGCGAGGTCGTAGTGTTGGTGGTGGAAACCCGAGAACATCTTATGGCAGACGTAGGACTGGAAGGCGAAGGTCCGAACGGCGGGTTTCTGACGGAGGAGGAGCACGTCCGGTTGAATGGCAGTGGCAGCAGCGTCGACGTCCCATCCTGCTGACTCCATTTCCTTCACCGTTAGCTTGACGAAGGATGTGACGGCCTTGAAGGTGAATCGCAGAAAGGCAAGGAAATTTGCAGGACTTAAGCTGTCGAGTTGTAGGTCATCCAGGGCGCAGAGAGAGAGGCCAGGATGAAGCTTCGACTCCAAGGCTTGGTTACTTCTCTGAGACTCGATCAGCTCCCCATGAAGTGAGAAGATCTCCGAATCCTTGAGCTTGAGATCGGCTTCCAGCTTGTTCGTGGTGATCTGGTATGTCTTGATTAGATTGCGCTGCTCTTCGATCTGGGCAGCGAGCGCCGGCTGCGGCATAGGAGCAGGATATGGGAGGAAGGACTGGTTCCAGAAGTAGGAGTGCTTCAGCTCCGAGGCGCGTTTGAGCTCAGCAACGATGGCCAGGTCAGAAGACTGTATCGAATCGGGATCATACGGCGACTGCGACATCTGGAGCTGGGCGTAGGCAGCTTTGATAGCGGAGATGCTTGCGAAGAGGTTGGCGAGGAGGGACTCCATGGTTTCTTTGTCCCTCGAGGACAGCTTCTGCTGCAGCTGCTTCTCATACTCGACCTTGCAAAAGTCGGTGCCGCCTTCAGACAGGATCGAGGAGTAGTCGCTGAAGCTCTGCGACAGCTTCAGATTGTGAATCGAGTAGCCATCCTCGCCGAGGGCAACGTCGGCGCCGCTGGCAGAGCTGGTGGCCGAGCGGCGGAGGCGACGGATCTTATGGAAGGCCCGAGCCAGCGTTCCCAACTTGGGTGGCGGCGTCACTCTGGTAGACTCCATCGCTTCTTCTGCTTCAAGATCTAGACAAAGAAAGAGAAGATCCACCGAGGTTAGAGCGACGGCGGCAGCCCAAGGGCGAGAGGACAGTGGCCAGCAGTGGGATTTTTTATGCAGAGAAAAGTGGTCTACTTTATAGGTTGTCTTTTTAGGTTCTCCTGTTCGAGAATATGCATGTATTCAAAGCCCGGAGGAAGAAAGGAGAGATAGAATAGCAAGAAAATGATTGTTCTCTGAACAGTAATTTACCAAAGCAGGAACAGCACCGATACCTTTGAACGAAAGAATCAGAAAGAAGGCATTCAATAAGCGAGATGAAGATGACTCCTCCAGGACATTAGATTCTTGCAATGAATAAGAACACGGAGCATGTCCCCATGGTGGGGCAAATCCACAAAGGACAACAGAGGAATAAAAAGCGAAAAATAACTGGGGAAGAAATGCTTTGGCTCATGCAGCATTAGGTGGGAGAGGAATCTCCAATAAGGTGACGGTGAGTTACTGATCCGACGCCATGCCCGGTTGTCGGCTCTATAAAATTTGCATCACAGCTTGCAGAAGCCCTCATGGATTGCCATTTTATTATACGGTGATGCTCACAAAGAGACCCCATCTTCTTCTTCTCAGTCCTAACTATCAAGATCAGTCTACTCATGAAGGCCTCACCAAACAACTTAGGAACAGAAAAAGCATGGAAAGAATCATACGTCCATGAAACTACAAAACAAATCCAACGATGACCTCTGGCGCTCATAAGCCAGTGAGCAACACCAGACGCTAACATTGGCAAGATAGCATGATAAGCAGCAGCGTCCTTTGTGCTATGTTCGTCTTGCATGTTAATTATTATATGGGAAGGAATCAATTTGGTGTTACTATTTCTAACGTGCCTCCACTAAGAACACAACACAAAAGTCTTCCCGGGGAGGCCCCATCCACTGCCCCGGCAAACACCGGCGTCACATGCCGCATAGGAATTTCCAGGTACTAAGCTTTTGCCCATGGAGCAAGTGGACAAATGTTCTCAGAGGCGAGAATAGACAAATCCCCAGAGCAGAGACCAGAACGTGACTCTTGCTACCATAGCAGAAGCAAACGCTTCAAGGAAACCACAGTTTAATCGGGGCATCTACATCTTCGGCACTCTCCCATGGCTTCCGGCATCCCTCGTCGAATACTATATATGATGTATATATTATATGCAAAAATCAGGCACACGTAGTGAACATTCATTCACTACCATCCGATTTCTGGAAGGGGCAGAAACAGGAACGCAAAATCTGATTTTTGAACCAGGAAAGAATGAGGGAAAAAAGTGCTTTTTTAATCTACTCTTCGCCCAGAGAACGAAACTCGTTTGGGATTATGAGAAGAATAGACGGTTAAAAGGGTTTATTTGAGGCCAAGACATGGAGACGCACCAGAAAACCTAAGACGGGGAGTCGGCAGGACCAGAAGAAGCCGCAGCAGCGGGCCTTCTCCTATCGCTCCCTAGCGGCACCCATCGTTCGCAGTGGCGATCTTGTCATATATAGAACAACCATTGGAAAAGAATAACCTCAAGTAGGAAGCCTCCCATTCGACTGACCTCGGGGAGAACGTCGAGGACGAAAACGACCCCAAAAATGGAATCTTCACAGCGGTCCTCTTCGTCTTCTTCCTCCTCCCTTCTACCCCCGAGCTCGTTTGCGCGAGGGCGAGAGAGCCCTCGGAAGAGCACCAACGGGCAAAAGATCAAGATCGACGGCGAGAATACAGAGAGAGACCGACCGACCAGTCGATGTGAACTGTGGCGCGAGGAAGGGAGGAAGCAGAGAGATGTGAACTGGTAAACGTCGGGAGGCGCGGCGTCGGAAAATAAAGACCACCTCTGGCACCCGTTGATTCTATTGCCTAAATTACCCCGAACATACGCTCTATATTACATAAACAGCCCTACCCGTCTGAGATGTTATTTTTCATACTTAGCAGGACAAGGTGGGGGGTAATTTAGGTACAACAGAGGGGCATCCATGGGAATTGAGATGTTCTCACCCGATGTAGTCTATTCCAGCTGGATTTTGGGAGGTGGGATTTTTATTTTCTTTTTCTTTTTTTTTGGGTACTACTAATCTCGTGAAAATATGTTGCCATGAACCCATATTTTTTACCTTCTTTCTTTCCTCATCTGTGTCGGCTTCTCCGCAGGAGTTCTGCAAACTTTCAGCGGAAATATGCAAGCAATACAAAATTGACGCTGCAAAGGAAACGTGAAGCACTCGGACAAAACTCATCCAAATATACATGACTTTGTGTTCTGATGGAGAACAGTGCAAATGGAGACATTAAACGTCTACAGTAGAAGACGTTTGACGTTTGGTCCACGCCCTTCACCATTGGATGATGACACTCTCACCTCATTAATGGAGTTCGGATCTTCTGCTCAGGTAAAGATCATGCCTTCACTTTCGTGGAGTCCTGTACGAGAGAGAGAGAGAGTTGGAACTCTGGAATCTCTCATCTCTTTCATCTTTTGATGCAGCGCAGGCCTTCCACTCCATTGAACACTTGTTTCCAGGCAAAACCTGTTACAGTCCAAGTTCTCGCTTCTCTCCCCACCTCTTCTTCTCCTCCTCCGCTGAACACATCGTTCCATGCAAAACCTGCTGAGGGGGCTAAAGGCGCAGCAAAGGTCTGGTTTCTCTCCCTCCCAACTTCATCTTCTTCGGCTCTTTTCACCGACTCCTCGGCCTCCTAACTCGTTCTTCTCTTCTCGGGAGGAGCTCCGCACGCACACAGACACACGAGCACCAACGTCAAATCGCCAACCAAAAGACTGTGTCAGAATCCAATGCTGCGACAACGGCTACCCTCCTTCGCACGTGCTTTGCGTCTCCAAAAGGGACCCCACCGCGCCTTTCCCGCCCATACACCATCCACTGTTCTGTCACGAGCGGGACCCGATGGGTCCCACCTCGATTTTGGTTCTATCGTAATTGGTTTTATCTTCACATTCATTCATGTGTGTCATAAATCTAAGATTTATATGTATATTTACTTAATCTCCATCAGTAATTTTAAATACAAGTCTTTAAATAAAACTCACGTCACACGACGGCCACCGTCCAATGGCACGATGGAGGGAAGGTGGAGCCCCCGCCGCTGTCGGTGGCGCCGGTGCCGGCGCGTGGGACCCTGCTGTTCCGTTTGCATCCCCTTTAATTAACCCAATCTCCTAATCGCATCACAAAAGTGGCTCCCAAAAGTGGCTATTTCTGTCCTTCTACCGATGATCGCATCACAGCCGTCGGTTCGTCCTTTGAAGGCAAAGATCCATTACCTCTGAGCGGTCAAAAGTATCCATGAGAGTTGACATGACCTTCGGCTTTACGAAAAGGACTTACTTTGGTCATCTGTATTCGATCCCAACTGTACCTTCCTAAACTGTTGCTGAAGGGCCAAGTGTAGCCCATGCATTTGGATGGATCCATGGGCCCAAATATGGCCCGATTAATTTATAGGCCCGCATCGAACACGATCAGAGTGGCAGCCCTTTTGCCCTTTCCATTCCCCTTTCCCGTCGCATCTTCACCGCAAACCAAGCGGACAGACGAATAAATAATGGCGTTTTAAGCGGGGCGTTGCACGCCGCGGCTATCACGCACCGCACCACACTGTAAGCGCAGCTTAACCCCGACGCGAAAACAGTGAGACATCGATCATACGGATCCCCCTTCCTGGCACTGGACCCGTCGTCCTTCGTCCCGGGAGAGCTGCCATGAATCGATCCCTTCGCCTACTAGTCCTCCTCCTCGCCGCCGCCTCCGCTGCGTTTCTCGGTTCCAAAGCGCAAGCTACCCCCACCGGTCGTAATCTAAGGGCTCCCGATCTCTATTCTTTTTGTTTGAGCTCTATGTTGCTGTAGATCGCTTTCATTTAACTTCTCCTTCTTCTTCTTCTTGCAGGTGCTATAGTGAAGCATTTGTCCAGCGTTCTCAAATGGACCAAGCCCTCCCCCAAAACGACCCATCATGGTGGGTCGATGTCCTTTTCACTTCGGTTTTGCCGTAAAAAATCGTTGCTTTCCGAGTGATTTGTCGCCCCCGTTGTGTTGTGGTGGCAGATGGGGACGTGGTTGAGTTTGAGAGCGGGTACTTCGTGGAGACGCTTGTGGAGGGGGACAAGCTCGGCGTGGTGCCGCACACCATCCGGGTCTCCCCCGAGGGGGAGCTCTTCGCCGTTGATGCCACTAATAACAACATAGTCCGAATCACTCCGCCGCTCTCCCAGTGTATGATCGCGGTTCCCTCCCATCTTCGAATCTTTTCTTGCAATCTATCGTTGCAGATATCAAATTCTTTGAGGCTTCTTTGTGGTCAAGGGTTCCTTCCTGTTGCAATTAGGATATCTTCTCTTTTTTTTTTTGCTTTAGTCAAGATGAGATCTTTAGTTCTTATGGTTCGACATTAGCATATTTTTTGCTGACAAAAGGATAAATGCAGATAGCAGAGCAAGGCTGGTTGCCGGGTCATTTCAGGGATACTCTGGACATGTTGATGGTAAACCGAGCGATGCTCGTTTCTATCACCCAAAGGGTGTCACCATGGACGACAAGGGGAATGTGTACGTTGCTGATACTTCTAATCTGGCTATTCGGAAGATAGGTGAAGCAGGTGCATCACTTGGACAATATCCTGCATCAGATTTAATGATTATGGGATTACGAGTGTTATTTCTGCAATTGGTGAACCAAATTGCATGTGTTTACTTGAGGTTATCCGCTGCAGGTGTGACAACTATTGCTGGTGGCAAATCCAATATTGCAGGATACAGAGATGGGCCTAGTGAGGATGCCAAGTTTTCTACTGATTTTGATGTGGTATATGTTGGAAGAACATGTTCTTTATTGGTTGTGGACAGGGGAAATGCTGCTCTTCGCCAAATTTCTCTTCAGCAAGAGGACTGCGAATACCAGTATAGCTCGGTCTCGACTTCAGGTTAGAACCATATCTTAATATTTTTTAGGATATTTTACTAATAAATTTGCCTCATCTATAATCAAGGATTGTGGGACTCATACATAGTTGTCACAATGCAATATTCCATCATGTTCAAAATCCTTGTTCTCTTTCATTTTTGTCAAAACCATTTTACCCTCAAGCTTCATTCTCTTGTATGAGCTCGATCACAACATCATCCGCCAGAATTCATCTTCGTGCTCTTCATACTTAGTTTGTCTTCAGAGAGGTCGATAGTTATTTGAAGATGATTGATTTATGTCATGAGCCAACATGAAATAGGCATGACCTTTATGGCTTTCTTCTGTAGCTGTTATTGTTGTCCTTATTGATAATTTAAGGAAAGATTATATAAGAAATGCTAGTATTTAAGTCAAATTGACATACCATAAATCAAGAATAAGACTATGGAAAATCATCCAATTCAATTCATGTGTGGTTTTAGGATATCAAGAGGAAGATTAAGGTACAGTTAACTAGAAGCCATAAAATCTGCATGATGACCCATGAACTCCCCCATGGACATTGCTATTAACATAGATGTATTGGGATAAATCCAATAAAAAATAGTTGGAAGCTGATGAAGATCCTCATCATCATTTGGTCCTCTTCCCAATGCAATATAATTTCGTCAACAAACTTGTGATTGGAGGCCAATTTTTCCTTTGTAGTTAGTAGGTCTGAACGGTATCATGAACAACTATCAGTCACTATTTCCTGTACCTTTATGCTTGTAGGAAACTGACAACTATTTCTGCTACACTGACCAAACCTAGTCTGCCTCAAACTTGAACCTGTATGAAGCTTGGTCTGACTTTAATGCGTAAGAATGCTTGAACCTTAGTATCAATAATAGGCTGCTCAATGTGTGTTTGTATATATATATTATATATACATATATATACACATATATATGTATATACATACATACATACATACATACATACATACATAGATACATACATACATACATACATACATATATGTGTGTGTGTATATTACATAGTCCATCTTTTTCCTGATGCACAATGTTGGAAATTGAAATGTAATAATCCCTTCCATTCAAATTTCTTTTTTCCTCTTTAACATACCACATCTCCATTAGAGTTCTCCTTTGACTTTCTTTATTGGAAAAAAAGAATAAATGTATGGTCTCCTATCTTATCACTATGGATATCATTATCTTGATGTAAATTCCTCTTGATATTTTTTTCTCTGTAACCAATACCTGAGCAAACCTTTTCTCTGTGTTGGCGATTATTTTCTTTTCCAGGATCATATGCACATAGTTACAGTCATCTCAGGTGATTCATTCAAGTTCATGGACTATTTTGAGATCGTACAGCCTATCCAATCCCTGTACAGTATACCAAGTTTTCCTGTCTCTTAGAACTAGAATCAGCAGAGAAATCACTGAACTGTGCTTTTATCATGAGAAGTACCTTGTTTTGTACTTCTTCACATCAGTGTGACCTTGTGTGTAGATTACTCTTAGTGTACACTATACAATTTTATGTAAATGGAGGTTTCAAAAAAAGATGATAAATGTATCTAATGCATTGCTTCTGCAACCATTCTGAACCTTGCATATAACCTTTGTCGCAATGTTTGTAAATTTCCTTGTTTATGAACTCCTAATTGCATCATCTGTATGTCAAGAAAATAAACACGATTCCAGAAATATCAAAATCCTACAAAGTATGAACATGTTTAACATACAAGAAGCACCAAACCTAAATTAGGAAAAAGCCTGATTTTGGCACAATTTGTTTGTGGGATAGACTTCTGTTAACTATTAATCTGAACAGATTGAGATTTAACGGCCACCTGAGCTGGGTTTTGACGGTCCTGATTTGTCTCAAGTGCAGATTTGACATAGTCCTTTGGAAATTAAAAAATCCAGAATTTTTTTTAACTTCTATTTCATGTTCAATTGCCTGTCAGAAGAAAAGAGCAAGAAGAGAATGAGAATGCAATCTTATACGTTGCCTGAGCTTCATGAGTTTGCAATCAGCTTGCTTGATATTGTCATATCTATGGAGGTCTATCAGTCTGTTTGGTTATAGTTATGGAAGGCAACGTCTTTTCTAAATAATTGTGATAAATATCCTACTCAAGATTTACTGGAAATGAGTAAGAATTATATTCATATATGACTTGTAGCTGGGTTTAAAACGTCTTTACAGACTGTGTTTCCAACATTCTCATCTTTTCACTTTAGTCTTCCATGCCATTTCTATTTTGGTATGACTTTGAATGAATTATTGCAAGTGAAAATTTTTTATCTGTTATATGAGTGGTTTGATTTTCTCGCTGAAGAAGAGGCATTGTATAAATGCCAATGGCTGATCTGGCCTCTATTTCCAACCGTCTGCAGATTGATGCCAATCCCCCTGCTTGAATATAACCTCTGATTTTTTTTTTTCAATAATGACCTATGTGTTCTCGAGATATTTATCCACGTCCTGGATTAATGATGTTCTATTTTGGCAGATATTATTATGGTCATCGGTGCAGTGTTGGCAGGTTATGTCTCATGCTTGCTGCAGCATGGATTTGGGCCTCTCATTTCCCACAAGGTGATAAAATATAGATATAATGTGTTTTGCTTGTCTTGCCTTTGTTTCTTATCTTTCCGAAGCAATATTTAGGCATCGATAATAGGTCTTGTCATTCTCCAGTTACAAGCACTATATTCATACTGTCATACTTAATTATCATACGTGAGAGCCCTCACTTATTTTCTATTTAATTTACAATTGTTAATAACATCTGATTTTTGTTTCTTCAGAATCAAGCCTTCGAAAGTGCACAACACGAGGGCAACTCCTTGGAGAAACCTACTCTCGTTGTAGAGACCCTGAAAGAGGAGCCTGGTGCTGGATGGCCATCTCTCGGGAGGCTTCTTGTTGATCTATCTAAATTTGCTGTTGAAGGAATTGGCAATATGCTTCTCAACCTCGTCCCATTTGGCCTTTGTCGCAAACGAAGTGCTGGCCTGACTCCTCTCAAAGATCATCTTGTCATGCCTGAAGACAAAGCAGTACCGCCCGTTGTGCAGAAGCAAAAGAGTCCCTCGCCTATGTCCGAGACACTTCATGAACCAAATGTGGTCACCGAAACAGCACCAAAGCCCCAGAAGAGTAGCAAAGTCCCCAAATTCAAGGATCCCTCGCTACCTAGCAAGCACAGATCATCGAAGAGACAAGAGTATGCAGACTTTTATGGCTCTGTAGAGGCTCAGGTGAGTTCTAAGCCCCAGAAAGATCGAGTTCGGCACCGTCATCGCGACAAGAGTTCCGAGGCCCTCTTTGGTGCTGTGGGCACTGAACCAAAATCAGTCGAGATGAAGTCAGCCGACTACAGTGATCCAAAGTTTGATCATTACAACATCAGAAGCAAGTATGGCCCGGATAACACTTTTCGCTACTAAACAAACTGATCGGTGTGTTCCTGAATTGTCTTTCATGCGTAACAAGCTAGGAGGGATCTGGTGCAGTGATGAGTGACCCTGGCAGTGCTTGTGGCTTTGCCTCTGTTGTTGGCTGTAGTGAAATCCTACACAGTTTGCATAATTGATTAGCCTAGCAATTTCGTGGTGGTTTTTGTAATATAATCTTCGAAATCTAGGATATGAGAACATATAATCTAGCAGTTGTGCACTAAATACCTGGTTGCATAATCGACACATGAACATGTTCTATCTGTCAATTCCAAGTTTATATTTATTTAAAGGAGCCAAACGGGAGAACTTTTCTTAGCCATTACCACAGGTGCTGGCAATGCCCCTAACGTACAGCTAAATGGATCTCAATTGCTCATCAACTCAGGTTTGAGGTTAAACAAATACTTGCGTACAGCTAAATGGATCTCAATTGCTCATCAACTCAGGTTTGAGGTTAAACAAAGACTTGGATGCCGAGGAGGGTTCTAACTTAAACTTGAAGCAAGACATGACAGATTTGGCTTAGGATTCCACTTCAGGAATTGGCTCACAAATACTCAGAAGTGTTTGGCAGATGATCTCTTCCTCACGAGAGGAAGGAGTGAGTGGACCACATCAGCCATTAAAGGCCTGTAATCAGCTTCTGCCTGCACGCACATGGCTGCAATGGCAGCAACCTGAACAGCATCCTTCACAGAATACTGGCCTTCCAATGCAGGATCCATGATCTGAACAATATTTTCTCTGTCACTGAGCAAAGGCAGAGCCTGTCAAGCCAATGGAAAAGATGAAAGAATTATTAGAATGCAGGAAGAATCTTGAAAGTGATGACAACACTCAGATGAAGCAGAAGGGCAAATTCTATAAACTTATGTATAGTTTAGTAACTGCTGCAGAACAATAAAGATTTTAAGCACTGGGTCACCAACATCACTAACTATGAGGTAATTTACAACCAAAAAATCCGCAAGCAGAGAAATAAGGAAGTTTAAATTCAGTTTCTGACAATAGAAAATTAGTGCCATAAAGAATACAGTTTAAGTGAGAACTGAACCATGGAGAGAAGCTCTGTGCTTTCAGATCACAGATATAGTCAGGTTTTGATAAAACACTTATTTGAAATGAAATGTTGTTCTAAGATGTTGATCATTAATAACTGGATAGAGAGAGGACTGACCCATGATACAAGAACACCTTCCCCGGGAGGCCTAGTCATATCCACAGGAACTCGACCGGTTAGCAGCTCCAATAGAACAACTCCATAACTGTATACATCTGATTTGGTAGTCAAATTCCCAGTTAAAGCATACCTGTAAAATTATAGGAGGTCCATGTTAGAGTGCGACATTGACTTAAGACCCGTGGCAAAACCAAGGCTTTAGTAGTAGATTAGGATGAAATTTTGTAGAGACATGCAAAATAGTCCTAATATATTGATCTGAAAATATCAAGGATTGGTTCGTACTCTGGGGCAACATATCCCTGTGTGCCTAAAATGCGTTTGGAAACATGGCCTCCAGCTATCTCAGATCCAAGCTTTGCCAAGCCAAAATATGAAACTTTGGCATGGAATTTTTGGTCCAGAAGAATATTTCTGGTTTTGAAGTCTCTATGAATGACAGGCGGAGTGACATGCTCATGAAGGTACTCCAAACCTTTCGCAGCTTCAAGGGCTATCCTGAGTCGAGTTTGCCAGTCCAATTTCGAAGTTCCACCACAATAACCTGTAGTGCCAAACTCTTGCAATAAACCCAACAAGAAAATACTTGCATCAATCCACATATACAAGTTTATGATATGAAAATTTATGATACATGTACAAGTTTCCTTAGGCCAGATAAACATATATATATATATATATATATATATATATATATATATATATATATATATATATGTTATACAGGATAACAACATTCATATGAAAGAAAACCAAAATATCAAGCATAATCTTTATGGTGATTATTATGTCAAGTAGTCCTAATGACAACAATATCTTCCATAAATTTTAAAGAATAAAACATTGAAACAGAGGGCACACATCCACCTGGCAAGCATATAATCTATTTAAAATAGATTAAATCTGTAAGCATTGGCTATAACAATATGTTGTAAATTGTGTGACCAGTTTCCCAAGCATAAATGCAACTGGCACAGCACTTAACAGCCCATGATCATACTTGCATGACCTGATCTTTTGAATTTTCTTTTCAGCACGTGGTTTTATAGCAATTCTAGTCAAATCAGAAGAATTTGTATGAATAAGCCATGAAATGTTCCAACGGATAGTCTGTGTATAATATAGAGAACAAATATTTCAGTTCTTGCAATGTGCCTTTAGTTACACAAATACAGCACTACCCATCTCCATAGACTTGAACTCCTGTTGGACAAAAGTTGATGTCTGAGTCATTATTGGTAAGATCCTAAAGGCCTTCAACAAAACATAACTTGCAGCTTGGACTCTAAATTGAGAAACTAACAAGGGAAGGTGGGCAATTTAGTTCTTCATTTGTTTTACCAAGTACTATACCTTTTCTTATGGTTACTAAATTACCTATTACGTTAGCAATTGGCCAGTGTAAATATTTAAGATTCGTTTTTAAGCTACAAAGAGCTACATCAGAATTTTATATATTTTATGATAGTGAAAATTTATAGTTCAAATGGCTGGTGGAGATCAATATCAATTAGTATTGCATATTCTGCATGTTCTTTTCTATTCATTACTATTGCATATTCTCTTCATACTATTTACTACCAGTATTTTTGCCTCCAAAGTACACAAAGTTCTCATTATAAGGCCTGATAAAAACAAGACCTAGATGAACATCTTAATTCACTCTTTTGGTTGCTTGGGTGTGTATTGGCATAGATCATCCTCAATTTACTGTCATTTGCATTTTTAAGCAAAAAACTGGTTGTTTGTCCGAAAGCACAACCATGTAAAAATAAGCTCAAATCTAAGCAACAAGAGTGAATATTTGAAGCACACTTCACCGAAATATTGCTGTAATAAAAGTTAGCCCTTAGCAGGTCCTTGTAAAAACTACTCAATTAGGGACTTATCTAGATAAATCTATAAATGGGACATATTAAAGACATCTACACAAATTCTTTATAACTCGGATACGAACTTTTGCAACCATGAAAAGAGAAATAAACATATGCAAAGGAAGAAAGGTTGCAGAAAGGAGATTTATTGATCATGGTTGTTATCACATTATTGTCCACTACCAATTCTATGAAATTTCTCAGCAAGCTATTAATAGACTTGCTTTCTTCTTTTTAACATTTGACTCTCACAGGAACCTCGAAAATAATATTCATAAAACAGATAACTTGTCATGTACATACATACTCATGGATACACAATATTAATCATCTCAACGGGCACCATTCACATAAAACATATAAATTTCCTTCAGCAAATCCAGCTCATTAAAACGGGTGTTGATTATCGAACCATGGAAGAATTCTTTGCAAAATGTAATGTCAATTATTAGAATCCGTTAGTACCTTGAATCAATTACCCCTATATAAACTAATTTATGGAAGCCTACGTTCTCCTGCAGTGATGAACAGTCCTTATGGGGCCAAATGCCAACTTGTGCTTACAGTTTGCTGTTGTACTGGAATGCTTGAAAAATAAAAATATATCTACTGTTAACGATCTTAATCGGGCATCTAATAAACTAGTATGAACCCTATCAAATAATGGCGTTGTTTCGTAAATTCTGACCAATCATATGTCTCAATCTTTTGGCGAAATTTATCGTGTGCTTACCTCCTCGAGGATACAGATGTTCCTGAAGGCCACCGTTAGCCATGAACTCATACACCAAAATGCGGTGGCCGCCATCCGAGCAGTGCCCTATCAGCATCAGCAGATATGGGGAACGAAGGTGCGTCAGCAACTCCACCTACCAATGCAAAACCCATTCTTTACCCGATCAGAGACCATAATCCGTGAAGCTACAGACAAGTCGAATAAAAGACTGAGAAAGAGATAATAGCAGCGAGAGACCTCCAACTTGAACTCCTCCTCCCCCGGCATCCCGGGCCGGCCCATGATCTTCATGGCAACCTCGCGCCCGTCGGCGAGCACTCCCCTGTACACGGCCCCAGAGCTTCCATGGCTCACCACATTTCCCTTCCCGAACCCCGCGGTGGCGGAGTGGAGCTGCTTGTATGTGAACACCTGCACACCTCTCTCACTCACAACCACCGGCGCTTCTTCGCCGCTGCGACTGCCGCTCAAAGGCGCCGCCTTTTCCCTCTCCTCCTTCGGCGATTCTGAACAGTAGAAAAATGCAGTCTTTGGGAAAAATAACCACATTGGAGGAAAGAAAAGGAAGAAAAGGGAACGGATGACTCACTGCTGAGGGACTCGAGGTGCTTGGCAACTTTGTTGCTAATGTAGCAGTAATAGCTGAAGGCGAGGGTAAGGGAGACGAGAGACAGGACGGCGACGACTACGATGATCAGTAGAGATATGCTCTGATCTCTTCGATATTCTCCCTCCATTCCCTTCCTCAGGAGTAAGAGATAACTTCCCTACATCAAATGAGATCTAAAAACTGGGTTTTGCGCAGCGAATTGGCTGTAGCAAACAAAGATAAGTATATAAGTTAGATCACATGAGAACAAGGACGAGACGAGTGGAAAAAAAAGAAAAAGAAAAACCATGGAAGGGAATGAGTTATGCAGAAGAGATTTGATTGTTTGTAATATTCTAATGTCCTTGGGATATAAAGTACAGGCAGCAAGTTCAAATTATTGTTGTTCCCAAGGAGTTCATAATGTTACTCGGTGCGTTTCGCTTGTTTCTAAGACAAATATTAAAGCATATAAAGACTCGAATTTATTTCCATTGAGAATCGAAAACAGGGGACAGAGTGGTACGCTGCATTTGGAGTCTAGACGGCAGAGGATGTGCAAAGGACGAAAATTGATGCTAAGCGAGATTTGAACGCTAGCGATTTCCTTGTGTTCTCGGGATCAGTAGATGCGGCAAGTTCAATTTGGTGTTGTTTCCAAGGAAGCCAAAGTGTGGTTGGGTTCATTTCACTTGTTTCTGAAACAAATCCTAAAGCATTTAGAGACTCGACTTCACAACCTCGAGGCACTCACTGAGTACGTAGGTTTCCTGGTAGCGGAACCCAAAGCTTGCTCGGCGACGAATTCTCTGCTTCAAGTGAACACAAAGTGTTAATTTACATCATCAATTTCAAGGAATCAGCAGAAAGACGAAGATTTCAACGAGGAAGGAAGGTAAATAAAGGATACAGACATCAATCTCTAATTTCGCCATGGTCGTTCGCTCCTCAGATCCGAGCAGCAACTTGTGCTGATCAATCCTGCTTTGGTATCGAGTATAAAGTCCTGAAAGAAGGCACGGCGTGTGGTTTCTATTTGAATAGGCTTGCATACAAACGTAATAAAACTCCAGCAAACTACATCTGCCAGCATAATTGAAATGCACAAGAATCTGAATCACCAGTACTGGAGATCGCAACTTGTTGTAATGATCGGCAGCTTGACGGAGTGATTGTATTGACATGGGAAGAAGGGCAGGTCCCATCTGCAGGATGGCAACTGTTTAAAGGCTTGGCATAGGATGCTGCCCAATACCATAAAATGACAACAAGAGAAGACAAATCAGATCTGCAATCTGAAAGACTGTAAACATTTATGCTGATTCAAGCTACTGGGGATATTATAACTCATGTAGACATGTATCATCAACTTAAATCAAAGCATGAGAACTTTACCGTCCACCATCTATCAATCACATGGGCCGGCGTCCTGGGCCCAGGCCTCCGCCCGTCGCCGCCACGGCGGCGGAGGGGCAGTCTTCGCGGCATCGGCCTCCTCTTCTTCGTCGGGACGGGATTGATGGTGGCAGAGGAGGAAGAAGAGAGGGATCTCGAGAAGAAGAATCCATGGATCCAAGATGACTCGGAGGCGGATGAGAGACAGATTTGGAGAGGTCGGAGGCGAAGTTGGGGGCGAGCGTGGGAGAGGAAGATAGCAGCGAGACAGGCATTTGTTTGGTTGGAGTTTGAACGAGTAGCAGAGAGGCGAGGGGTTCGGCGACACCGAGACGGTCCGGAACGCATGTCTGGGTCGAAAGTACGATTGCATGCTTTCTTGGGCCCAATTGGGGTCATGTCTTGGAATTGGGTTGGACATTTGGTCCGACCTTTTATCTTTGGCGTTTCTCGTCAATATAATTAGATTAAAACAAAAAGTAGCTTTACATATATATCCTTCGAGAGTTTCAAAATATCGTATTTGCCCTACAAATTTTGATATGATATTGCACATATGTATATATACCCCCAAAAAAATTAGATTTTGCAAATATATCTATAACTATTATTATTTCTATTTAGCATCATCATTAACTTCTGTCCAATAAACTGAATTAACAACAACTAATTATGATTATCATTAAATTAAATTAAAAATAATAATGTAAATGTCTATAATATCCTTCATTAATTTTATCAATTATCGAACATTACATGATTCATTATTAAAGTGGATTTGAGTTTTATTAGTGATACCAAAAGTAAATAGAAGAGCAGTTCATCGAGGTACCTAACATCCCAACCTCTAGCAGAGGCTGACATGAAACAGAGATGAAGACAAAACTTGCAGACCGTACTGACACCAAACTATTGATTGATCCACATTATTTCTTCATCCTGTCGAGTCCGGGCTGGTCCTTCTTCTTCCTCATCGACAGATGAGGTTGGCCATTGGCTGGTCCCAATCCAGCTTGGCAGATCCAGGTCAACCTCCTCCGGTCACAACGTCAAGTGGCCAAGCAAGAAAAGTTTCTCCATCCCCATCTTGGCCAAAGAATGTTTAGGTTGGAACAGAGAAGCAAGCAGCCATCTCCATGGAATGTACTCAGAAGCCAAGCCAACGTAGACCAAGATTCTTAAAACAAGCAGATAAAAACAGAGACCTAATGCAGGAACACACCAAGGAAATCTCTTGCATGCTTTCGCAAGTTGCTCAAGACGGCAAGCAACCCGTGACCTGATCTCTTACGTGCTTGACCTGTCAGTCGTCATCAATTCAGGCGAGAGGAACAGGAAACAAGTTGAAGAACTCGTGAGAGAACTCCTCTTCCTTTGGGTTGGGATCCATGGCAGCAGTGAGCGGTCTATCTTCGCCATTATGATGATATCCGCATCGCAGTCACCGCCTGATCTCCCTCCTCCACTCCTTCCATCCTCCAGGTAGAATGAGCCCTGTTTGTGTATCTGAAAGAGTCGCGACTCAACAATGGGCGAGTCTCATGTACGCACTGCAAGATACCAGGCGGGGAGTTGCCGTCGACTGCTCAAATCATGCAGTGAACTGTAGGCATCTGTCCTAACACATGAGCCGAGGTACCATATTGTCATCGACAGACGAGAGCCAATCATAACACGCCTCCTCGTCATATGATGCAAGATCGTGTTAGATGCAGCTGAATGGACTGTCGAAAAATCTTGTTTCTTCTATTAGATTTCGTTAAAATTTTCTTTCTGACTGAAATTATGATGTGGGAAGGACTTCAACCATGCAGAAACCTGTGGATGAAGGCATATTCGCAGACCAAAGTAGTCAAACCACAAGTCTTTGGAACACTGATTGAGAATAAGAAACACAGGGAAGAGAAGGGAAATGAACAAAGAAGAAAGAAACAAGAGTCGATGCCGCCTCCCACGAAGGAACGCATCACAAACCAACAAACCCTCCCCATCGATATCTACCTTCTCCCATTCCACGCAACCCACCACCGCCACTTGGACTTTTTAATGCTAATGTTTACTTCCTCTTTCTTCTTCCTCTTCTTCTTCTTTATTGTCATGCCTTCTTTCTTGCACATCTCTACTGAACCCAACCAAAACCACTGGTGTGCGCTGTCCGACAACCGTGGCTCCCACCTTCAGCTTTCCTCCTTTCCCACTCATCTCTGTTTCCTCCTTTTCCGGGCAACGCAAAACAAAAAATTAATATAGAGACAGTGAAAGTGATGGAGAGAGCTCAACTAAACACGCAGAGAAATTATAGTTCTAAAAGAGTAACTTTTAAGCTTACGAGGAAGATATCGCCGACGAGGTGGTGGCGCCGCCGCCTGGGGAGGAGGAGGAGGATGGACGTATGTCTTTGAGGAGCCCAACAACCTGCTGCATGGTGGGGCGCTTGTCCGGAGATGGCGCGGTGCAGAGATAGCCGACGCGGAGACACTCGACGACCTCTTTCTCCTCTTCCGGGCCGGCAACCCGTAGCCGAGGATCCACTGCCTCCGCCGCACGGCCGGTCCGGACCAGTCCCCTCGCCCAACTCACCGCCTCCTCCGACCACCCTTCCATCCCCGTCATCAGCTCCATCACCAATATCCCGAAGTCGTACACGTCGCCCTCCGCCGTGCCCGCATTCCCTGCAGCGGCTCCGCCGAAATCAGCCACCCGCGGCTCCAGGTCGTTACCGAGGAGGACGTTGGCCGGGACGAGGTGCCCGTGGATTACGCCGCGAGTGGTGCCCACCCACCCCTGGTGGAGAAACGCAAGGGCCCGCGCAATGCCGAGGGCGATGCGATGTCTCGTCGGCCAGTCTCCGACCTCCGCCACGGCGGACTTTGCTGCCTCGCGCCTCTCCTCGCCGCCCTGCTGGTCCCACGTGTCGCTGGTCCAGTCCTCCACGTTGGGTTGCCCCGCCGGGAGCTCGTGGAGCCAGCGGTGGAGATCTCCCCTATCCATGTACTCGTACAAAGCTAGCTTCTCCTCTCCTAATAACACGATCGAATTCCATCGCAAGAAAAGTTAGTAGTTGTCTCCTTTGGACATATATATACATACATATACAAGCAGAGAGATCGATTTCCATTAAGAAGAAATGTTAACCGTTGACTCAGATGGAGATATAAATATAGAGAGAGAATAATACCCGGAATGCAGTAACCGAGGAGGGGAAGGAGGTTCGGGTGGCGGAGGCGGGCGAGCTCGTGGAAGGAGGCGACGGCATCTCGCTCCTCCGCCTCCCGGGCGGCCTCCACCACACGGATCACCACGTGCATGTCGCCGGCAAGCACCGCTCTGTACGCGGGGCCGCTCCGACCGCCCTCCGCCAGCTGAGACTCCTTCCCGAACCCCGACGTTGCCTTCACCAAGTCCCCGAATGTCGTCTCCATCAACGGTTTTTCGAACAGCACCACCGGCGCAGACCACTTCGCCTCCACCACCCACCTCACTTCCTGCGGAGGCGCCGCCACTGCTTCCTTCTCCTCCCACTTCCACTCATCCTTCCGCTTTTTCCTCTTCTTCAGTACTATGCATAAGACGCAGCAAAACGCAGCCAAAACCACAACAGACGCCACTCCTGCTATGACTCCCAATCGTATCACTCTTCGTCGTCTCTTTAGCTTGGTGTCCTTCTTGTGTGAAGCCAGAGTAGTTGGAGAAGACGAGCGGGCGACGTGTGCAGTAGATCCGAAACGAAGTGATCCGGCTTTAAGGAAGGCAGACTTACCAAATTTCTTCACCACCTCCGACTGCACGACGCCAGTGAAATTATTGTACGATACGTTTAGGAAGTCGAGTCTGGCGCCGAACGAGGGAAACCCCTCGGAGAACACTCCTCGCATAGAGTTATAAGACATGTCCAAGTGCCTAAGCATTCGGAGCTTATCCAAACCAAGAGGCACGAGGCCGAGACCGTTGTGCGAGAGGTCGAGGATCTCCAAGCGGGACAAGGCAGCGAGACCGGCGGCGCTGGTGAACCGATTGCCAGAAAGGTTGAGTGATCTGAGAGGCAGCAAGGGACCGCCGGCTGGGATTTCGAACCGGAGAGCACCGCCGAGGCGGTTGGCAGCAAGGTTTACATCGAGAAGGGCGGGGGCGGACCAGAAGCCGCCGGGAACGGAGCCGTGGAGCGCGTTCCCGGAAAGGTCGAGGGCCCGGAGGGCGGAGACGTTTCGCAGGTACATCCATGACACGGTACCGCTGAGGTTGCGCGAGGGGAGCCTGAGGAAGCAGCCGGTGTCGTCGGCCGCGGGAGGGGGAGGGGGAAGTTGGAATCCCGAGACAGAGCGGAACGCGAGGGCGATGAGCTCGCGGTCCGACGGGCCGCAGGCGCAAGCGGCGCGCCGCGAAAGCAAGAGGAGAAGACCGTGCACGAAGAAAAAGGTGAAGAGCTCCATTCCACTCCGACACTACCAGCGTCCTATGGTTTGCGTTCCTTGGGATGTCTCTCACGATTAGTCTGATCTTATTTATCACAGAATACAAGGCGGTGGGAAACTTAGTTAAATAAGACAGTGGATGATGGGATTCATGGCGTGGGTGGGGAAAGAGGAGTAGGTTAAATATTTTAACTAGATTGACCATGGATCAACCATTTGGCTTTTAGATACGAGAGTCCACACATCCATTCCCGAGTGTGACCTTCGTTCGTCCCACTTCAAGATCCGTGTTTCGATCGATTACTCCCGGATACTCGTGTGGATCTATGGATGATTGGCGTCTTCGGCCCCCACATATTCCCCTAAGCCGTCCCTTGAGACGCTTGAATGAAGACACACGATACCTAATAGCATGCGGATTCCATCATCACGTCGGGAATAAAACACGTTACTCTGAATTAGTAGTGGGAACACAATTCATACAATTTCCTGTTCTTTTTCTTCTCATGATGCCTATTTAATCGTGATGTTACACGCGTAGCAAAAATACTCATGCAGTCAATCATATGGTCAACGAAGAGTTCCACAATAACTTCTTAGAAAGATTGGGAAAGATGTTAGCACACGAACCTCCCGCGCATGCACTGTCTCCACTTTGACCCTGGCATTGACTTGGCGCAATTTCCCACCGCTTCCACTCCCCCGACTCTATGACTCCCTCCTTCCACTCGACCCAAACTTGTGCAGTTGTTGGTCAACTCCCCTCGACGCAATCCACACAAGGAAAGATTAACGTTGATGTCTCCTGTTTCTACAGCCGCGTCCAACTTCTCCTCATGGATGCTCTTCCCGCGACAAGAACACACAACTAACGCAATCCACAGAGATTCAGATGTATCTGAGAGCTCAAGATTACCATTCTTAGATCTACGGCTTTCCCCTTCTCCCTTGCTTCTTGTACTTTTGTGTATCATCACCGGTCGTCTCATAAACAATGGAATTTGCAAAGAAGATTAGTCATCTTTAGTTTATTTGCTAAACATGCATAATAACATAGTTTAGAAACACGGGTCATTCGACTAAATATACTGTTCATATAGTGTCACTTTATATCGGTTAAAATTCGACTTTGTTCATTTAGCTGGAACCATCGTCGAGTTGCATCATGTAAATTAATTCAGCGGGACACAGTGTATGCCCATGCATGATGCATGCATTACGCAGGGTGGGAGGGACTTCTACAGCTTCTTAAAATCCTGAGCAGCAGAGTGAGATCGAGCCGCGCTATCTGAGCGGGTCTGGCTTCTCAGGAACACCTCCGCCACCACCGCCGGCGTCAACTGCGGCTTCGGCGTCATCTTCGGCACCTATCTCTCGCCGTTGATAACGACACTAGGACAGAGTTACGTGAAGTTCCAACCTCCCGGGCTGCCATAAATTAGCTTGCAGTTCATTAGGGGGATCGTGCTGTACACTTGCCGTTCGATGACGATCGCCGACTACTGATTCCTCTCTATCAACAGTCATAGAAGCTGGGAGTCGCTCGTCTTCGCGGTGATTGCTGGGCCGCACAAGAGGTATCCCCGCTTCCAAGCTTCTTCCTACCTCTTGTCGTAGTCCTCTTCATGAGGGTGGTTGACTCGTGAGCTCTGCTTCCATTGTGAGGGTGTGAACCTGCGACGGACGACCAAAGTGGACCCCTCTCGCCTGAGCTGCCGTTGGCGTATGGCTTCCTCGCCCGCCGTCTCGCCTCTTCACCAAGCGCTATTCGCTATTCCAAAGACCGTGTGAAGTAGTGGGCCACCCCCTGATGTTGATGACTGGGCTATGGGTGTGTTTCAAACACATTTTGAATGTGCATGTTTCAAAGGTAGTAAATTGATGTTGGATAATTTTTTTCAAGTTATATTTGATCTAAATATTGTAATAGAAATACTCTAATGCTACATTGAGATAGCATTAGCATGTATTTACGTGATGCTAATATTTTTTAAATATTAAAATATTCTATGATATTATCTAAAATTATGAGATTGTCAAAATTACTTAATGAGAAATTTTATATTTATATATATATATTTTTATTTTTAAAGATATTTTTTAATGATTATATTTATCATTTTTTATTTATAAGATTACATTTTTATATTTTTATATTTTACTTATTTAATTTAAAATAAAAATATACATTCACTTTTAAATAAATATTAAAATATTATATGGATAATTTTATCATAAAATATTTAAATATTTTTTAAAATCTAATTTTACTAAATAATATTCATGTGAATATATATATATATATTTATTATACAGTTTTCATCAACTATTTATCAAACACTAAAAGCATTTGTACATTCACACAAACCCTATATATGATACATCTCATCATGTGCATAATAGGTTGGGTTAAGTCTTAGACTTAAACTTTTATTGTAATAAATTAATATTATCTTTAAAAAATATTATAGATAAGATACATCAAAGCCATATTAAAATAATTTAAAAATATTAAAACAAAATATAGTTATCTAATCGAAATATTGATTCAAAGTAGATCGATATCATACTCCATATCTCTTTGCGACGATGTAAGGTAAAAAGGCTTTTTGGATTCGTAGTCATAACAAAGAATGAGTCTAATAAAATCCCTCTGAAATTTAAGTTAGCTTTCAATTGAATGATTTTGGCTAGATATCAAGACATAAGAGTTAAAATGCATTAGAAAAATAGCTTTTTTTCTTTGAGAACATACTTCAGAGGTCACATATAATAAGATTTAAGATCATTGTACTTAATGTTATGATTTAATGTCAATAATAATCATATACTTCCTCGCAATTATGAATGAGATCATAATATCTAAGAAGTAATGTCATATCAATCACCTGATATCGCTCACGTCATAAATCTTATACATGATAAAGTATAGAAAATCAATGTTAATGTCAAAGGAGATATACAAAACAATATACGAAAAAAAATAAAAGGTATAAAAAATCGAAGTGATATATATTTTATTTAATTATTTTTGAATCAGGAGAGATTTGGACATCAATTTATGAAGTAATGTCTTCTATATTCTTTAAAGTACAAGAATGGGAAACTGGAAATTAGCAACGTTAATCACGAAGGCGCACTCTGCGGAATTCCTGCTCTGTCCTCTTCATCTCCTGCTGCAGTGCCACGATCTGGAGGTGTGATCACGAAGGCGAAGTCCGGTATCGAGTAGGCTGAGGCGCCTCGGCCGCCAAAGGGATGGTGAACCCCGGTTAGGGTTTCCCTCTTTCTTATTACTTCTTACCCTTCGCCTAGGATATTGTTCTAAGTCTTCGCAGCTGTCGTGGTAGGAATTGTAGAATCTCCGGGACTAGGTTAGGACTATCGTGTAACTTTCCAATCGTCTCATCTTTATTTGAAATTTGAATGACACTGTGTTAGTACACTCTCCTGGAAAAAGGTTCGATAGCGACAATACACGATTCTTTCATGCCTTCCCCCTAATTGTTTGGTCAACTTTTGTTGACTCGAGGCGGAGGGTGTACTCAAAGTTGGATTTTTGGCTTTCCACGATATCAATGTTCCGCCGATGGTCTCCCCTCCTCGTTTGGACGCCTCCAATTAGGGGTTTGGTGCCCTATCGCACTCGGAATTCGATGTGATATCATCGAATATAATCCTAGTCGTTGCTTGGTGTTGGTGCTGAGTTTCATTCTTCTATTATTTGTTTTTTATTCTCTTGATGGTAATTGGCTGCGCATACCCTGCACATCTCGAGTTAGGTGTTTAACAAGCAAATTAATCTCCATAACAGATTTATGCTCATTTTTTCTATACTAATTGCTTATCGTAGTAGGTTAGGCATGAAATATTGCATTGAACTGGTGCAAAAAGTTGTTATTTTTTTCTGTTTACGTCAGTCTTCCTTTTCTTTATGGAAAGGATTGCTTTCTCCAAACAAAAAAAAAGAGTTCTGAATTGTATGAAAGGACCTTTATTTGATCATATAGGCATCTATATCCAAGTTGCAGTTGTATGTTTCCGTTCTTTCTCTCTTATTCTTTTGGTGATTCCATTCTTGTTTGAAGTAGATTTCGATATATATTGACGAACAAAAAGGTATGTTGTGCTAGAGAAATAAAAAGAATGATCAAAGTGTCTGATGATAGCATACAGAAAGGTAAAGTGTCTGATCTTTGTTAGACTTTGAAATTTTGTGTGTTGTCAAGAGTATTGATCGTTGTGTTGTATTGTCAACTTTGATCAGTGGCTGATCTGACAGATGGATGAGCAGTATTCAGTTCAGCTGGACTATCTTAGTCTCCTGTTTGTCCTTTTATCAGATTTCGTATAATTTGGTTATTGGTTCTGTAGTTTACTGAACTGGAAATTCATTGCTTAGAAGACTATATAAAATATACATTATCATCAACTTCTTGAGATATTCTGTAGCTTTAACCTTGATTTAGATATTATCATCCATGACTTTGTCTAGGGAATAAAAATCTCGTCAAGTTTTACATGATTATTATTGTTGTTTTGGTTGTTTGGTTTCTGTTGCTGTTGAAACGTGTATAAATTTGACCAAACTGAACCATATATTTTGGTTAAAATTCTTATTTAGTGAAGTTTGATTTTAAACATTAGGAAATTGTTTATTTTAGAACCCTATATACATACCCGCACACTGATGTCCAACATAAAGAATCACCTGAATTCCTCCTGATCTTTAATCTCTCTATGAATGATTCCAACTTGTTCTCTGGTTTGAAACAAGACAGTGGAAGAAAATATTGGAAGTAGTGCTTGTACTCAGTATTGTTATGGTAACAGATTTTTTTTGACAGATTTGGCTGTATTCTATTTTGATGTGTATTCATGAGAAATAAGGTTTCAATTAGTTGTTATAGATAGATGGATCATAGATGATATGGAAGGATAACACGGATGAACTGGATGCTGATTTCCTTGAGAAGTGATTTTTTATTAGTTATCTATGCTTTTGGTTTGTTCATATGATCAATGAGATCAAAATATCCAGTGGTCCTTTGGAATTGCATGAGCACTAATGTGTCATCGTTATCATCAAAAGTATCTGGAGAATGAAGGTAGTGGCCTTCTTTTTGGGCCTTGGTTGGAGAATGCCCATTGGAGAAAGCTTGTAAATTATTGAGTGGAAAGCATTCAGTTTAAACTTATGCGAGATCAATAGTGTCATATGAATTTATGGTGGGCAAATGATTTGTGGTTGCTACTTTTTTTTTTTTTTTTGTTAGATCGAGATGCTAATGTAGTGAATGGTGTTCTATTGAATGATTGAAACAATGGAAATGTGTTCCTGAAGTTCTCAAATGGTTGATGTTGATGTGGTGTAAACTGAGGACACATTATTTTTGGTGCTGGACCTATAGTTACTTTTGAGTTTGAAAATTAGCTAATGATGGAACAGTGCACTATCTTTTAGGCCTTAAGGCTGTCTGGATATGGCAAGATTATTGTACTTAGATGGATTATTGTGGCAATGCAGCCTTTTAAAGTACTCATTTTGGGGGAAGAAGTTAACTTACCTCTCATTGATCTGCTTTGTACCCTTCCTGGCCAGCCATCCATGAGATGTAGAATTTGGTGAATCAATTTCAAACAGCAAGTATAGAGCAGGAATATCAGTGAGGCTCAGAAGATTTGCTTCTTCTGCTCCTCCATCTTTTTGAATCTTCAGAAAAAGGTATTAAATACCTTCAAGACAATGGATTCTGCACAAGTACTTTCTGAGATACCTCCTTGTTTGATCTGTCAAAAAAAGAAAATTCTTGGCAACTGCCATAGATATAATTTGTTTTGATGTTTAATTCAAAATCATTCACTGATGTCCATTGACTCTTTTGCCTTGTTGCTTGAATTGGATTAACGCAGCCAAAGAACGTTTATTGTCATTTTGTGTTTTTTTCTTTTTCTGTATGTAAACTCTTGCAATTTTCTAAATTCTAATTAGGGAGTCTTCTTCCATTGCCATGTTTGGTGGCCTTCAGAAACATCAAGTATTACATCAATTAGCCCCTGCCATCACAAGATCATACCATCTCAGCAGCACTTATTCCTCTGGTCTTGTTGGAACTCTTTCAACATAATTTTAGTAAACCGGAAGCAAATGTAGGAAGACCATGCAAATGAAATAGTAGCTGGTATTATAAAAAGAAGTTTATAGCATTTAGCACTGTGAATGTATCATCTATGATACATCTGAAAGCAAAAAATTATATAGAGCACAAATGGAAGATTTATCTGTACTTGCCATACATATATAAAGGAGAAAGTATGTAGAGCACAGATGAGTGGCTTAACTGTGCTTGCTATACAATAGATCCTTGGATGATGCACCGCACATCTCTGGAGTCATAAAGAGAGTCTCTATGATGCTGTTGTTTCAGTGGAAATTCACATGGAAATTAACCAGGATACCAGAATGTGATGCTTACGAGAGCAGATCTTGTTCTTAAGAGCTGCAAAATCAGAACCAAGAAAAAAAAAGATAAAGTTGGATTCATGTCTCAGGAGACAGGGCCAGACATTAAGTTTGGCTGAGGTGCTGGTGGCAGAGGTGGTAGCTGGTGCTGATCTGCTCCTTGCCAAGCCCATACAATGTCCTTGAGATAAGGTTTAAGATCTTGGTTGCAGAATTTCTGGTACTCCATTGTGTCTCCGGATGATTTCTTTACCTCAACAACATAAAATGCAGGTGTGACCTCAAAAATCTCTGCATCAATTGCAAGTTGCCCTTTCCTTCCGTCTTTTCTTCCCTCTAACTTGACCAATCCATCCTTCTTCTTTACCTTGAAATGCTCCATTTCAGCAATCTCTTCAAGCTTTGACACTATTGCCGAAGCTGGCTTCTGGGTTGTAAATCTGGCCTCCTGCTTTTCTCTATTTCCCGTCTCAAAGAGCCCTGAAAGATCAAATCCTGGGGACAGAGCGATGATGTCAAATGCATTTAGGCTGGTAGGTTTCATGGGCTCAGACATTTCTGCTTTCTGAGTGCGATCATCATTGTTGATCCCAATGCTGAAAGCTGAAATCACATCTTTCAGGTTGCTCAAACTTTCTGATGGGGTTGGTGCCACCGCCGGCTTGAATCCTTTTCGAAACCATGGATTCTCTACCAACATCTCAATTGTGATTCGAGTGTTGGGATTGGGGTCAAGGAGTCTGGTGAGGAGCTTTCGGACATCGGAAGGGAACCGATGAGGGAACCTAAACTCCCCTTTTGTTATTTTTCTGTACATTTCAATTAGGTTTGAGTCATGGAATGGTAGGTAGCCTGCCAATAGAACATAGAGGATTACTCCGCAGGACCATATATCTGCCTTCGCGCCGTCATAACCCTTTTTGTTGATGATCTCGGGAGCAACATAGGCTGGTGTACCACATAGCGTGTGGAGTAGACCATCTTGCCTCTGTGACTCTTTGAGGGCACTCAGTCCGAAGTCCGACACCTTAAGGTTTCCATTCTCATCGATGAGGAGGTTCTCGGGCTTGAGATCACGGTGGTAGACACCGCGGCTGTGACAGAAATCAACTGCCCCAATCAGTTGCTGAAAATATTTCCTTGCAGCATCCTCTCTGAGGCTTCCTTTTGCAACCTTGTTGAAGAGCTCACCACCTTTGACATACTCCATCACAAAGTAGATCTTGCTCTTGCTGGCCATGACCTCATAAAGCTGCACGATATTTGTATGGCGAACGAGGCGCATAATTGAGATCTCCCTTTTTATCTGTTCAATCATTCCCACACGCGTCACCTTCTCCTTGTTGATGACCTTAATGGCGACATTCTGGCCTGAAGCCAACCTCCTAGCATGGTATACCTTTGCAAAGCTGCCCTGCCCAAGCAATCTTCCAATCTCGTAGCGGCGCATCAGTATGGTTCCTTTCTTCTCCATATCTTTCTGCTTGAAATGGAGATGACAACAATGTGATCAAATTATTGATACACAAAGCACATCTCTCCGAGTGTTTCTTCCCTCCATAAGACATCACATAAGAAAGGGCAAGGACCAAAATCCATGCCTCTTGGCAGGTGCGATTGGAACCTGCAGAGACAGAAGCAGAGGTAGAGGTAATTCATGTTGTTTTTCTAGTTCTTTGAATGTAAGGCCATAAATTTTTGGCTCCTTCCCAATTGTTGTCGAGAAATTTACTGTCTAAAGATAGCCAAGGGTGATGCCTCCACTGTCTTAATTCTCCAGGCCGAGGTTGTGGATGGTATCTTAGATACTATTCTAGGCAAGGATGGGTTTAGGCTATTTGCAGGAGAAATGCTTATCCTGGGAGGAGCAACATTTTAGGCATCAACAAAAATGATTCTTCATTTGCATAGCAATACAATATAAATGTGTATTTTTGAATTATATTGATTGTGGCCTCTGCTAGATTATTGCAAACAGTTGTCTCATAAATGGTAAAAATGAGACAAAATAAACTCCAGCGATTTAACATGTAGATTCATTTGTGGCTCTCTTTGTTCACATTTCTTGTATCTTCTTGTTCTGTAGTTCTGTTTAATTCAAAGAACTCTCCACTTACAGTTTAATGTTGTTCCTCAAGCATGTTTGCTTTTAATCTGCAGTGATTCAGCTAGCCTGCAGGATGAAAGGACATAAGAAGATGAAGAAGACCAGATGATGCCTTAGGAAGTAGGAAAGAAGAAGCACACGGAGAATAAGTGTCATCTCAGCTCATCGGCTTCGAAGAGAAGGCATTGAAGGAAAGGAAAACACTGAAGATGTTAAAAAGGCCAGGATCTTTGTTGTCTAACCTTATCGAAGCATTTGTCCAGCTTTCCATCATCAGCAGGAAGCTATGAACGGTCTTCTGTAGACTTCTGTATCCTACGAAGTCGGTCCTTTGGTAACATTCATCATAGTTTCAGTTGACACAATTTCTTGAGATACCCAAGAATGAGTTGCTACCTGCAGTTTGCTCCTTTGATCTCTGCAATCCGGGAGACTTCATATTGTCAAGATTTAAGAAACATGGCTCCGAGATATGTGGACAAGGCTGCAGCGCTAAGCTTTCCTGTCAGAGAAACAGCTTCAGTTCTCTAAGATACGTGTTCGCAGTGCAACCTAATGTCACAGCAGCCAAGCGTGGTCTCTATTTTGTGGATGTGTATCTCCTGTTAAGCCCTCAATTCTTCCTTGGAAAGAGATGGGAGTGTGATGTGCTGTGTATCGACCCAAATGAGAATGCCAGGTGGATTGGCATGGCACCACAACAGTAATTGGAATTGAATACTCCCAATATTTCGATATCTTTGGGGATGTGGAGGGAGAGAATTGGTGGCAGACAGCAGCTCTTGAGGAATCATGGTGGCTCACTTCACGTGGGTGAGGCAAGAAAGACAGGAACACATACCATTCTGCCATTTGATATCCCTTGGCATCTCATCTCATCCCAGTTGGAAGTAACCTGGATTGATCACCCTTCTTTCTTTCAGGCCACAAGCTAGGAAGCCTGGCCAAACTTGCTGATTTTTATGTGCTCTTCTTCTCCGATCCTAGTCCACAGGATTCGGAACACTGCCAAACTTGTAGCTTTCTGCCGTGGGTCTCATACTTGGGTGCCTCAGAATTCTAACTTCAATAAAGTGGCAGTTGTTTTAGACAGGGAATTCACAATAATTTGAGGCTAGTATGAGAAGGGTTGTATTAAATCATTGTCATATTTATTGAGTGTAGATGCAACTTGGTTAATTGTTTGCATTATTGGGGCATTGACAATGATTCAGAAGGTTTCTTCTCTTTTCCTGCATGAAAAATGCCATCATCCCTTGTGTGACAGACAGATTTAGTTCAAGTCTTGTACATGAGTATGTGGAAATTACATAACTGAAGAAGATCTCGGTGATTTGTTGTGGCAGTGATCGCCACAATATGAATCACATAATTTTCTTTGGCTCGCTTGTGTCATTTGCTGTCCCAACAAGGGGAGTCAACGAGGAAGAGAATGTTGATCATTCACATATCGAATTCATAGTCAACGCTAGTACAATCCAACACTTCACCTGCCTTATATTACATTCGGTTTGATTCGATTGGGCTTGACCAATTTTAGCCCTAAAGTTGATTGGATTGAGCAAGTGGATTCAGGTCGAACCCAACCATTTCAAGTTACAGGCCCAAACCGATTTCCACATGCAGCGTTTGCAACACATCTTAGGCTGCTGATATATAGTTAGAGAAAGAGACGTACAATTATGGAATGTTTTAGGTATTTGATAAACAACTGATGAAAATTATATTTTAAATATGTATTGATGTCAGTAATGTTTGGTAAAATTATATTTTAAAAATATATCGAATATATTATGATAAATTTATCCTTCTAATATTTTTAATGTTAATTCAAAAAATCAATATATATTTTTAAAATTAATAAGTAAAAATAAATAAATAAATGCAATCTAATAAAAAATTTCATGCTGTCCAAATATATAATAAATAAAAAATATAATCATATAAATATATATATAATAATCTTTAAAATAAAAAAAAAATTGATTCATTACTATATAATTTTGATAACATTATAATTTTAGATAAAATCATAAGATACTTTTAAAATTAAAAAAATATATATTAATATTATTCTGATATAGCATTAGCATTAGAGGATTTTTGATACAACATTCAAGTCAAATATGATTTAAAAATAATTTATTAAACATTAATTCACATTTAAAATATGCATCGGACTCTATATTTCAAATATATTTCCAAACACGCCATTAATAATATGCATTACTTTTTAATAATATGAATCTAAAAATATATCGGATAATATTATGATTTTTTTTTAGGTATTTATCAGCTAAACTAATCAATACCTAAAAAAAAAATCAACATTCTTTACTATGAAAGTTGAGCTAATATCTATCTCTATCAATTCGAAATAAGGCTATGGTTACACGCATCATAACATCATAGAATGCACTAACCATCGATATATCTGCGCATATACCGGACAATACATACATTGGCAAGCGTTGACCAAAACCCGCCACGGAAGACCGAGAAAAAAATCTATAGTTCACACCATAAACAAATGTGACACGACATCATCATTGGCCAAATCACCTGTTGACGAGGACTTTATCATTAACAATGATAAAAGTATGACCAAAGGTGTTTAATTAATAGTTAATTCCTCCTCCATGGATTCAAGTCATCAATGGATCAATCAGAATATATAATATTTTTATAGAATATTTATTGCCGTGAATTGAAATGGGTTACGAGACTGGGAATTAATTGGTGGCATGTGAGCCCATTTCCAACAATTAGTATCGATGGG